CCGAGAATCATTGTAGCGGAGGCTTTATGCGGGGTCTACAATGAAAGTCACAGTCGTAAGAATAATCGACTGCGATTGATCAATTTCGTTAGACATATAAGAATTGACCAATAATAGTCGACTATTCATACTACTACGTCTTTACGACTTTTATGTAGACAAGGCTTCACACACAAAATTGCATAGCTGCATATGCATAGCATGAAAATTGTTTAAACCAATGAACATCGAGCATTGAGTCGCCATATTGATTTACATAACATGCTTATTGGTAAGCGGGGAGCACACACTTTTGCATAAGTACACAAGCGTATGCATAACGAATTTGATTGGTTTACAAGCAAATGCGTAAGGAAATGGAGTTCCAAAAGTAAAAACGGGCGCGAAACAGCCTCTTGAAACGGTATCAAATAAACCGCCGGCGCGGCCGCTGTCAGGTTTCTCCCTACCATAATAGAACAGACCCGAGGCTGCAGGATTGGAGACGAGACGGAGCGAAAGGCCCGTTCACAACGTTGGAGTTAGAAACAACCCGAAGACTCTAGCTTCGCGAAAGAGCCCACGTCGCGCGAATAAGCGCGCTGATCGCACTCGAGCTTCCGAGACAGTCCGGCACCGATTGACGTCACGCATAGAGGCGGTCAGAGCGGCCAAGATGGTTGCCAATGTTGATGAGTTGTTTGGTTATACGGCGGAGCGGTAACGATAAAGGACTGGGCGGGGGTGTTGACCGTGGTTGGTGTTATGCCTGTAAAGTGAAAGCCCGTACCGATGAGAAACCGCGTGTTGGGTTGGCTGTTGCGCGAGGAATGGATCCCTTTAAGGACGTGGAGAGGGTACGGTGTACCCTGGAAGTCACGCAAACCACGATTAACTTAACCGCCCAGCAGCTCGACGACCTGCGGGTCCGGTGCTCCGTCGCCTCGCCACTGACCCAGCAGGAAATCAGGATTCTGGAGGTGAGGGGTGGCCCTCTCTCCCCCCCCTTCCCCGCCCCACCCCATCGAAGTCCCGGCGACGCCGGTCATTGTGGCCCGCGCGCCTACTCCGTTGATCAACAAGTTGCAACTGCGCCGTCCCGCCGGCGTTTAAACTCGAACCTCTGGGACTCCGTCGTGTCGGCAGGAACGCCGGACAAATCGTCGTCCTCCGCTGTGCCGGCGCGTTTACGGCAGCGTCAGCTGTTTACATTTGTTAAACCCCCCCCCCCCCGTTGAACCCCCCCCCAGAGAGATTTGTCATGTCACCCCGTTGAAAGATACAGATATCGCCTAGGACTTAACAATTAGTTTCAGTTCTTGGGATTACAACGATCGTAATTCCAAAGGTTTAACGTGTTTTTGTGGCGACAGCTTATGATCGTAGGCAAATTGTGATACGACATTCTCGATACTTGTGTGTCATTTTTACTCCTAGTGTGAAATGTGCAATACATCGCGTTGTAAGCTTGTCTTGAATAAATATGTCCAGTCTCTGTGACAGAAAATTATGATGTCATCAATATTATTGTGATTTCATTGAAGTATATAGATGATATTATTTAAAGCTTACCTGCAGATTTATGAGGATGATTGTTTAAGATTAAGCGGTAGAGAGTTTTAGTCTTGAAAGTTGCATTACGATATGCTAAGAATTTTTACTCCGGTATATATTTCGGGCGTTTTCGAACATTGTATCTTTATCTTGAATAAACATGCACAATTACGAAAGTAAGGGCTTAAAACTTGTATATGTACACAATATGGACTTTGAAGAGATCAATGATAATACTTGATGGGCGTCGTAATAGCGAGATAAGATTTATATTAAAAAAAATCATATGTATATATATTTAAATATTTTTTACAGGTGAAATTAATAATATTATTCTGCAGACAAATTGTGGCAAGGAGTAGGTTTCCCAGACCGCCGCCAGACATAATGAAATATCCATCATTACCACTGTGGTTGCAGGTAGTTGGTATCAGTGTTCGATCAGCTAAGGTAAAAATCTGAATACGTATATGAATAGATCTTTTAACATTCTACTATGTTTACTGTACACGTTTGATTATTTTATTACAATTAAAGAATAATTTTCAGCAATGTTAACCCAAATCTTTTCCCGTTTCTTTAACGTTCTGCTGTAACATTTTAGCTGGTTTGTTCCAAAGTTTGGAATTTCGATGATATGAAAGAGAAGTCCGAACGTGACATACGGAATATGTTCAATGACCGCAAATACTACGAAGAAGACTGTCATAGGCTTTGTAGAGCACAGAACAGTTTATGGCGATACCTGGGTGAATAAAATTTGATATATAGTTGTAAAAAAATCTGTTGCGTGTATACATAAATAATATAAAATAACACATAATTTACTATTTTTGTTAGCTATTCTGAGAAGAGGAGAGAAGAGGTCTAATATAAAGTATGATTTCTACTGGGATTCTTGGAAGACTCGTGATTTGCCCAAGAAAATTAAAAAATCTAAGCCATCTAAGCCATCTAAGTCGTCTAAGTCGTCTAAGCGATTTAAATCTCGTGCGTCGTACGCCATTCCACACAGAACTAAAGTTAGCATTCCACGTCGTAACTACCGTGATCTATTAGTACCTTCTACATCTGTGGAAGTAGGTAAAAAACCTGCCCGCATATCTTCAATACTAAAGAAAAAATATGGTAAGCATGAGGGAAATATGATTTCTAACTTTTCTCTTGTGTGTCGTGTTACATTTCAAAGATTGTGCGAATCAGTTTTTAATTTGACAAAATTCTACTGACGATATATGTACATTTGATTGTACATACAATAGGTTTAATCTTAATATTAGAATACTAATAAAGCTTGTCTAGTAAACACATTTTTCTTCATTATAGAAATTTAATATGCAATATGTTTATTCTTGATACTAGACATCTTTAATCTTAATCAATACTAGATATTCCATTTCTAGCCAAACCTCCTCCATGTAAAGAACCAGTAATTAGTATGCCAAGTAAACGATCACCATCTAAAGTGTTTTCGTTAGCCAAGTTAAGAGCTCGTAAAGCACAATTGTCATGTTATCCTCTTAAGAAACAACATGATGATGATGATGATGATGATGATGATGATGATGATGATAATCGTGGTGGTACACGTGGTAGTACACGTGGTGGTACACGTAGTGGTATACGGGGTGGTATACGCAGTGGTATACGCAGTGGTATATGCGGTGGTATACGTGGTGGCAAAGGAAGAAAAGGAAGAAAGGATGAAGAAGATGATACGACATCATCTAGGTAATACTTGGAATAGTTCACTCTATAATGCATATTCTATTAATTCGATCATATGATATACTTGACTCTTGTTGTGATGATTTTATAAATATAATTTTAATAAAATATTAAGTATTTTAGGCTCTGACAAATAATAAAGTAAACGAATTTGAAGGGGCTAGGAACCGTGACAAGGTTTTAGTGTAAAAAATAATGTATTAAGAGCACAAAAAGGTACTTTATTAAGTCAATGTCTAAAATGAAATAAATAGAAATTGAGGTATATGAATAATATAATAAAATTCAGAGACAAGACTCGACTCTTGTTAATCTAATTTTATAATTAATACACTGAAGATGGTCTAAAAAGATTTCAAAATGTCTGTTTTTTTGTTTGTATTCTTAATACATTAATTTTGACACTAAAACCTTGTCTCCTGGCCCCTTTAATTGATTAGATTTAATAAAATAGCTTTTGAAGATATATTAACATTATATATTTTTAATTCTAGCGATGACTCTTCTACAGAGAACAAGAGTATTTCTACTGTGAGAAGAATTCTGCCAAGAAAAAATTTAGATCGTAGTTCATTAATGGATTCTGAAAAAGGAGAAAGTTCCTCATACAGTTTTCCTATTAAACCACTTCCTATTAAATTACCTGGTAAATCTTGTCTTAAAACATCTGTTGGATCATCTGTTAAACCATATGTCAAACCATACACATCTGTTAAACTACCTGGTGTATCAACTGCTAAAACACCTGTTAAATCAATTGCTAAATCACCTGTTAAATCAACTGCTAAATCACCTGTTAAATCAACTGCTAAATCACCTGTTAAATCAACTGCTAAATCACCTGTTAAATCTTCTACTAAAACGCCTATTAAATCATCTATTAAGTCACTTTTTAAAGCACCACCACCACCACCGATTTGTACTAAAAATCCAGAAAATGACGAAGGTAAAGATACACGAAGAAAGAAAAGTTTTTTATCACTATGTCCTAGGAATAAATTAATATATTTTTGTTTTACTTTTAGAAACAAATTCTGACGCGCCATCTCCATGTACTTCGTCTCCTGGCATAAGTCATGTAATTACTCATCGCTTTACAAGATCTTTTAATGTAATGACAGTATGTGACTATTGCGACAAACCGATGTATATGAACACTTTAAAATGCAAGGAATGTAAATATAGATGCCACCGGGAATGTGGAATCAAAGCACCTCCTTCTTGTGGCCTACCTCGGAATCTCTTTGCTCAGTTTAAAAAAGAATTTAAGGAGGGTACGTAAAAACATTGTAACTTTAGTACTGCTGATCATTTTCTTTACATTATACTACAAAGTTTTTTCTAAGAGAGAGAGAGAGAGAGAGAGTCACAAATGTTTAATAGTAAGTCTTAAAACAAATTATTTTAGGTAAGAAGAAGGTTTCCCCAGTATTAAAGACGTCGTCTGTCGAGATACCTGTGTCTAATGTAAATTTATTGTCTCCTTTAAGTGTGCCTCTCAGAGAGGCATACAGGAGACTGTCATATACACAATCTTCTACGAATATTTACTCACCGAATCAGGTATGTTACAATTTCCCTCAAATATTTTTAGTAAACTTTTTTTAAACCACACATGTACCAAATCAAGATATGTAAGTAGATTCTTATATAACGATGTAAATGTATAGGTATTTTATATTATACATTACAAATCATTTTTGAATAATTTGATATAGACAAGATGATGCGAAATCTTTATAAATATATAATTATTATTTATTAGAGCGAATGTAGTTTAACTAGCTTGAGATTGAACCGCTCAACACCTTCTAGTCCAGCATTACTATCAACCACTAGCCACAATACACACGCGTTCTTAAAACAGTTTCATTTTCCAGGTAAGTAAAGGCATTTATATTGTTATAATTTGTAATTTTCTTCTTAGAATTTTGATTTTAAGAACGTTATTTACATTGCTTCCAGATGTACTGATTAGAAAGGAGACATCTTCTGAAAAACTGCATGATATGAGATTACATGAAGATTCTGAGAAATCTGAATCAGTGATTTCGTCACTGAGAAGAAGAAGTGAAATATATGCCACGATTGAAGACAGACTGCTAGGTATAAGTATAGATAATATCTCAGATTCATGTGGGAACAGTTGTACTTCTTCTCAGGAATGGTTATGCTCTGAAACCGAAATGCGATATAGAGGTAGAAGATGGGAAGAGGTATGTATTATATTTTATTAATCTCTTGATAAAAATACATAATGTACCAAATTAAAACCTTTTATAGTTTATGAGAAAATGGCACATTTCATACCAAGCCATAACAATTAAAGATGTGATAGGGAAAGGAAGATATGGTACAGTATACAGAGGTTTTTGGTATGGAGATATTGCAATTAAAGTTTTAAATGTGAATTATCTAACCCAAGACAGGAAGTTAATACGAAAATTAGAAAAACTCAGAACAGAGGTAAGAATATATGATTATATTAAAACCCAAAATTGTTTAATATTAAAAGGTACTTTACGATTAAATAATTATAACTATTTTATATTTTTGATTATTATAGATAGCCTCGTGCCGAATAGCTCGACATGACAATTTGATAATATTTTTGGGGATTTGTATAAGACCTCCTCAATTGGCTCTAGTGACTAGTTTTTCTACAGGCAAAACACTTTACACATGTCTTCATGTACAAGAAAACAAATTTACTTTAGATGAAATTATTGCTATCGCTCAACAAATTTGTCAGGTAAATATGATGATAATATATGTATGATGATGTAGACTTATTAATTTTTCAAGTTATTTTTTAAATCAAGTTGTCTAAATAATTATTACTATTAATTGAATACATTTAATATATTAAAAATGTAGATGAGAAGAATTACAGACATGTAAAAAAAACGTAAATATTAATTAAAGTATAAAAAATTTCATTTAAAAAAATTGAAGATATTCGAACAGTCTTACAGTATATTCGTATAACTACTTTACAGGGTATGACATTTCTTCATTCTCGTAAAGTCGTACACAAGGATCTTAGGAGCAAGAACATATTTCTAGAATGTGGTAACGTTTTGATATCAGATTATGGTCTATTAAATATTACCAGACTGTCCACTGGAAATCGGTAAAATTATATCTTATAGAATAAAATTTACTCCTGCCAAATAAGTTATAACATTTAAGGTAAACTCATATCATGTATATATTTAGGAAACACAGCGGCACATTAGTTATACCACAAGGTTGGTTGAGTTACTTAGCACCTGAGATTATTCGACAACTAAGCGCACACAAACCAATTGAGACCAAGTTACCACATTCAGCTAGTGCTGACGTATATTCGTTTGGGTTAGTACTGTTACGATATTTAAGTAATTTTAGATTTATCTTAAAAACATCTATAAAACATTACACATTGTGGAAACGTTTCTATAATTTATATAATAAAAATACAATAATAAAATGTTAATTTATGCTAGAGTATACTATTTTTTAAATAATTAATAGTCATCAGTCATGGCAATTTTAAAAAGATAATATATACATACGTATATGATATATACATATGTCATGTATGCATATTTTTTACTATTGCTAGACGTTTTTGAAAATTAAAAAGTGAGTATAAATGAATACAAAATTTTTAAGAGATATTTTTCGATAGGACTCTCTGGTATGAATTATTATGTGGTGAATGGCCCTTTAGAAGGCAACCTCTTGAAGCTATCATTTGGCAAGTTGGAAAAGGAATGAAACAATCTTTAGCAAATTTGCAAACTTCCCGTGAAGTAAAGGTACATATGAGGGTTTAGAAACATGCGCGTGTGCAATCTGTATATGAATTTGTTTGTATTTACAACATTCTATGCACTATTGCAAAAATTACGAAGTTATTTATAGAATCATTACAATTTATTATAGGATATTCTAATGCATTGCTGGGCATACCATCCGACAAGACGTTCTAGCTTTAAACGGATAATAGCTTTACTGAAAAGGCTGCCTCGCAAAAACTTAGATCGTAGTTCCTCCAATCCAGCAAGTACTACTCGTGCTGCGGAAGCTATGTTTTAAATACATATAAGTTTAAATATGCTGTTGTTCTTGTATTGTACATAAATATACAATTATTGCCCGATCTTTGTTCAAGAAAAGTAAAATAAAAAAAATCATTAAATGATTCGCGTTTGCATTACTAATTTATTAAAATGTAAAGAAAAAGAATATTAAACAATAATTGAAAGTGTTAAATTGTTGCGAATTAAATACATATCAATTTTTTGAATGGAATCCGTAACAATATATAAATTTAAGTCTCGCGCTCTCTCTCTCTCTCTCTTTCTCTAGGAAGAGATATGTACATACATATTTATGATTTGTATTTATTAAAGATAATGTAAATACCTTTTGTATAAAAAATATATATATAAATCTAATATCTGTAAATAGGTAATACAATTTTTAAAAATTTTTATATATGTATTATAAAACAGCTCTTTGGTGTATATTTCAAAAAATATTAAACTGTTTTCTCAGGTAATATATCGAGACTGAGAATAATAGGCGATGGATTTGTTTTACATTGTATTTTATAAATAAAATCATGTTAGATAAGTAGGTATTTATATCTATTATAATTATTGATAATTGTAATAAAACAAATATAAGTTTTTTGAAATCTACTTTCAAAAAAGACATTTTAAATCAACGTTTCCCAAAGTTCTTGTTACTTGTTTGCTGTCTGCTCTCTTGTTATGTTTATGTCGCACCGTTCGCAACTACCATGGCAGAAATTGTGTGTGCCAACGGTCTGAATGTTAAGAGGATTACAATAATTTATTTTGGTTTTCTTCAATCGATTTTTGCGCGAGTGAAAGATGACAAAAATTTATTTGACTTGCTAATCTCGAATTCATATGCCAATACATATACAAACAAATTATTAGTATAATTTTTATTTACACAGATAATCTTTCAAGTAACAAAGAACATATAAATAATAAGTTATTTGTTTTATATACATATACCTACACACATAATTTCTTGCAGTTGCCTGAGTTCTCCCAAGCCTCCTCTTCTTTTATCAGTTTTTTTTAGTCTTAATGACTACAAGCTAGATGAATTGTTCTATGATCTGTACTACTCTTTAAGTGTTAACATACCTATTATTTCCTGAATCGTCAAAAATATTAAGATACGGTTTTTATAGCCAATGAGATAAATTAGATAAAGGCTGACTTTCTTATAGAATTTTTATTTGCAGATATTCTAACTCGCACATAATGTTTTTCATGGAGTAAAAGGTTAGTAGAAAGACAATTACAAAAATATAGGATTTGTTAAATTTGAATAAACCACTATTGTCAAAACTGTAGATAAGCTTGGACAATTTGTCATGTAATTTATCTTTGAGTCATAGACATATTTCCTAATTGTGTGAGGTTGTAGCATACTCAACCTTTTTGATCTTGGCAGCAGAAACGTGGAAAACTTGTCATTGTTGCTTTTGCGATAATTATTTATTTAAACGTAAAAACTATTATCTTTGTATTGATGTACTGCATAAAAACATTTAGATCAATTTAAAAAACCAAAGTGAGGCGAAAATAAAAATTCTACAAAAATCTGCAATTCGGCAAATTTGTAATGTTTTCAGTTAGTTTATCTCAGTGAAAACCGCATCTTAATATATTCAATGGTTCAGGAGGTAATAGGTGTGTTAACATTTAAGTGAATCACTCTCATATATGTATACATGTATAAGGATGATTTACTTAAGTCTACACATTAAGCATCATGCATATTGAATAAATTATAAAAAGCACTAAATTATGAAAATATATCGCCAATTTCAATTGAGTAAATATTAATTTTTGTCATCTAAATTTTATTTTTATTACGTAAGAGCTTATTATTTAAAACAATCATTATTGTAATTACATTACTTAATTATTGACTGTGAAAAAGTTCTCTCTTTATCCATTACACATCTTTTGTAATTCTTGTAGCTGTCTTCGGAGATGAATAGTGCGCAATTTATTTAACGTTATTCTTTTTTCAAACGTTTGTACCAAAGGCTTTGTAATGATATCCGTTATATGAACTAACGCACGTGTCCTGACTGCAAATAAAATTATCTATATTCATCGATTTATCTCTACTTGTAACAGACATGAAAAAAAAACTACCATTTAAATAAATTCTATTTTTCATCTATGCATACAGTGTGTAATAGACGTGTACGTACCAGCATCATTGTGGATACTGGCGAGAACATCCGGATGATCCTTACAGGATTCAGCCATATCTTCTTCTTCTTGTACCAAAATCTTTGATAGGTCCGTCATTGTCTGCAATGTTATTTAATTTCAAATAAAGAGCGCCTCTTTCAGATTTAAATTTCAATAATATAAAAGATAAGAATCTTACTCTCAAACATCTGTCTGAGATATCCGGGGTGTGTACTATCTCTAATGGTATCTCTGTAGCTTCACCGTTGTCCGATTGGAAACAATTTAAGAAGATCTCGTGTTCCTTTAAAGTGAAAAAAAAATTATTACTGCACTTACTGTTACACATATAATTTACCTGCATCAACCATTTTAAATATTGTGTAAAAATATTCCATTTATCGCACAAGTCACACGAACTGCAAGTTTTGTATTCGGATTGTCGACAATATTAATTTCAAGTCGTACAAGCCACAGTAACGATTGCGAATCTCGTTTGTTGATACAGAAATCAAGACGAGGAAAATGTGTGTATGTACTTTCGATTCTTTGCCCTCCGAAAACACTGAGAATATCAAGCCAACGAAACTGTGATCCATCGTCTGGTAGGTAGCTTGAGTTCTGACGTCTGCAAAGCAAAAGGAAAAAGTTTCGAGTGCAAGTTACATCACTTGAACTGGTTTCGGCAAGAGGAATACTTGCTGATACACACCAACGTGTGACGGACAAACGGTAATATGCGGATGCGAATGGTACCAGCCAAGGACTCGCATAGGTCGCTTTAATTCTACGGTTAATCGTTCGGCTTCGGCCGCGGCTTTCAGTAATTGCTCCGACGAAATCTCTACTCTGTCTTTCTTCTTATCTAGACGTCGCAAAATAATAACAGCTGATATTTTTGCTACTCCACAAGCAAACTAAAAGGGGGGATAAATTAATGCTTTCATTGCCTCGTCAATTATGTGTAAGAAATAATAAAGGAACATCGAGCATATAGTGTTGCAAATTCTACGTACGTTACCGATAAGCAGGCCCATCACTTCAAAGTTCTCCGTGGATAGGGCGTGCTGCAAACAGACCATGTAGACGTCTGTTTGCAGCTCCACTTTTTGCAACGGAGAGTCGTCCATTGCTTACAAAGATATCGATCCTGCGTAGAAACAGACACGAGTAAATTCACGAGTTCGGCAATCTCGCTTACGCCCCTTTCTACCAATACAGATTAACTATGATCTCGGCTTAACTTACTGTCTATCTTCTTCTCAGCAATCGGAAGAAGATAAAGCTTTGTTAAACGGGGATTAAAATCAGTCTGCACTGGTAGAAACAAACTTCAGAGATAATGCGAGTAACGCTCCAATTGCTTAGGTTTTCACCGTGAAAAAGTGAAACGACAGCAAACGGTTAATCGACCCTGGATGTCAATTCTGTATCTTACACTATAGTGAAAATGCTTACAAGTGAGTAGCTTTGTCTCTAACCATCCCTTTAAAAAAAAGATACAAAGCCACTCACTTTTAGCATTTTGACTATGTCGCAAGATACAGAATTGACCCCTTGGTGCAACGTCCAAGTACAGAAGGTGGTCAATACAGTGGAAATGGTAAAAATGAGTAGCCTTGTCTCTCCCCCCAAAAAGAGACAAAGCCACTGGTATTTTCATTGTGTTACAAGATACAGAATTGACCCCAAGTTATCTTCTTCGCGGACGGACCCACCTTACGTCTTATCAAGAGAGTTTCTCGGAAGGAGAGACCTCTGAGCCATGGATCCCTCAAGGCAATTGTGCGCAATTGTAATTAATGCATAACCTACGCCACTTCTGAATTGACGCCCAATATTAATTAAATCAGGTGGTGCCGTCTTCGTGCCGCGGTTTTTTTCCTTCACGCGGACTGGCGTCGCTCGAACGCGGGCACTCGGCGAACGTTACTCGCGCTGTCTCTCGAGCACTGTACTCTTTTGCACCGGTAAACGATATACGTACTACGTATACCAGCGACTTGGAGTCCAGGTAAAACGACGGCGCGCGCCCGTCTAAGGTGCGTCGCGAGTCGACGAATCTCTCCCTCGTCGAGTCGACTCCCCGCGTTCGTCGCTACCGCGGTTCAACGATCCCTCCGATCTTCCTCCATTCGCCTCGATCAGCACCCTCCCCCACTCTTGCTTCGCCACCCGCGGCCCCGAATGGCTGCGCTGCGGCGAATCGGGGCACATACATAGAGCACGGATTAATAGACAGCTCGCCAAAAGCCCGGGTGAAGTCGAGACACAAATTTTACTTTTTGGTTCGAGTCCCGACTAAATCTCTCCGATTTTATCGACAAATTTTACCTTTTGATTCGAGTCCAGACTAAATGTCGGCAATTCTGTCGATAAAATCGGATAAAAGTTTGTCGATAAAATCGGATATATTTAGTCCAGATTCGCACCTGTAGGGGCAAAGCTGTCGGTAAGGGGCTTAAAGTGCGCGGTGGTCTCGATTTCACCCGGGCCCTTTGGCGATCTGTCTATTAATCTGTGCTATGGTTCATGTCCAAACTTCTCAAATGGATTTGAGAGTGAAATGAGATAAAAATGTGAATGGCAATAGGTGACAAATTGCGAAGATTCAGCGATCGCGCGATGATATCGATCACTAATTATTCTCAGAGAGCGATCGCGATTTCTTCCCGTAAGTACTTGTCGCAAACGCGTATCAAGAAAAAACAATACGTTATGCGGAACGGTGCGGGCATAACAGACTCGTTCAATCCCATACAGCACATGATATTCGGAGAACGTTCTAAGAATGTTCTAGAATATTCTAGAATATTCTAGAACATTCTTAGAACGTTCCTCGAATATCATGTGCTGTATGGGATTGTGTCCACGTGAATAATCCTGCGTACGGCGTGACCTTGTTTTGCCGAGCGCCGTAAACAACTCGGTCGAAAGCCGAGCGCCGGTTCCGCGAAATGACGTAGCGCCGTGAACACCTCGGTCGAAAAACAATCTATTGTGCCGAATTAGTTGACGGGGCTCGGTCGAACGAGACGCATGTCCCGCGAGTGTACGCGTGATCGCTCCTCGTAACGCGATCGTTTCGTACGAGGATCGGTCGAAAGCCAAGCGCCGGTTCCGCGAAATAACGTAGTGCCGTGAGGCGTGAACATCTCGGTCGAAAAACAATCTATTGTGCCGAATTAGTTGACGAGGCTCGGTCGAACGAGGCGCATGTTCCGCGAGTGTTCGCGTCGCTCCTCGTAACGCAATCGTTTCGTACGAGAGATCGGTCGAAAGCCGAGCGCCGGTTCCGCG